GTCTTCAAATTAGTAGTAGTGTCTGCAGCCATCACAGTTTGAAAAGGATATCGTGAGCTGCATTTAATACTGGGACTATTTTGCCATCTTGGATGGAAGAGTTCAGTAATTGGTTTGAAACCAGAACAGCAAGATATTTTCATTTAATTACTTCTGAAATCATGTGTCAAATGGATAAAGCCCAACAATGAAGACCCAATGAAGACCCAATGGCGCCGTACTTACAAAACCATTCCTGCTGTTTCTGATACTCCCTAATCTCATCTTCACCTTGCCATTCGTACTCTTAACTCAAAATGAGATATCAATTTGCCCATGTAACTTTTCAGTTTCCCATTGATCATGGGAATTTTCTCCCAAGTATATCTCATCACCTAGAAGCTCTCTTCTCCTAGATGACACTTGCAATGATAGAGTGTGCTATTCACCACAATTTATGAGGATTTCCGATGACTAAGTATGTCTAGTATGAAGACATCAATGACAATTACGAAAATTTGCAAGATGCAGAGCCATATTCAATCTGACTTTACCAAATGGAACTCATGGTTCGCTCGCCGGACTTGAGTGTGAGCCTGATGTAGTTGTGAGTATTTGGTGAAGGAGATGGCGGACGCGGACGGAAGTGGGATGGAATAAGGCTGTGGATCACCACTACAGCTCAAAGGACACCCTCCGCTGAGGGCTAACTGCTGCTTTTTTAACGCATTAACATGCTTCACTTTCTCGGCCAGTCTCATTGAGCGAGTACTAATTAGAGTATTGTCGTTTTAAGCTTTATATAGTCGTATATTCAACAATTATGAGTGCAAATCAACTTTTTTTACTGTTTTAGTCATGAAAATAATGTTTAAGCCAACAAAAATGTTGTAGCACTATATGGTGTTCTTTGTTCCATCCGGCCAAGGCTAGCCAATTAGAAGGCCATTTTCCATACGGATAGTATCATTACCATAACTACACTAAACCATTTATGATACCGCTCAATATCACTCTGTCCGCCTCATTCCAGGGATTGTAATTTTTTCTTCCACATGTGAATGACCTAGGTGTCTAAATTAACAGAATATCTAAATGGGAACAGTCCTTCCACCACGAAATGACATCCGTGAATTTGCGAAGGACATTCCGCTACCCGGATTCAGAGAGCGAACATGAAACCAGAGGAGAGCTGGATGAAGAGGGTAGGCGACTTTTCCGTTATCTATAATATTTGATCTTTGTAGAACTGTGGAGAGGGAGTGCTGATCTAGATATGGCGTCCCAATATAGAGCAAGAAGCAATGATCCAAAAGTTACTGCGCCAGGACGAGGAGCGGAATGCCCAATATACAGTATGTATATGTTAATTGCGAAAATCCTTGCAAATGTCCAAGTTGTTGACAAGTATTTCGTAGCTTATTTTCACCGCCTTGCCATTAGCTTCTATCCTTCTCTATTTACCCTATATCTTCTACTCTATATCTACAGGATCCCAGAGGCTTCTATGCATACTCAGCATTGCCTCCCTTCTCTCAACGGCGTACATTATGAAATACATTCGCCTAGGACGTCCAGATCCCGAAGACGAACTCCCCAGAAGAGACACCGGAGCTGAGCAATGGCCCATGACACTTAGGCAATATCTCTTCGCTGCAAATACTGTCATTTGCGCCACGCTCTCCGTCGTTGCATTTTCCACAGAAAACAACAGCCATAATGGAGATGTTTTCTGGGCATTGTATCTCGTTCCTGGTTGTAAGTCCATCCACAATAGAACTGTTTACTTTGGTGTTGGAACAGCAGGCTAAATTTGTTTGATAATTGCGAGCAGCTGTGTTCATCCTCATTTGGGGTTCAAGGAAGATCATGATGTCAATTGATATTAAAGAACTCGAATATCTGCGGTATGAATATAAGGGCGCCTAATCGCATTGCAAGAGGCACGGGAGTTATTGTGCCTAAGAGGATCATTCATATATGGTGAGGTAATGGCTGTGTAGCAATGCCATGAGCGGTGCATTCCTGGACATGCGGCTCTATCGCCATTCGTGAGTTTCATCATCGTAAAGGCTCCAATCATCAAAAT